AAAAAAAAAAAAAAAATCCTAAGCTAAATGAAAAAAGAAATTACCATATCAAAATATTCTACAAACAAAAGTTAGGAATTTCTGCATTTTTGATGTTTATATTTATAAAATGATTTGAAAATGCAATAATATTAACCATGGTCTACTCATTTCAAATTTTAAAAAACAAATGTTTTCCGACTAATTTTCATAGCCAGTCCTCCAGCTAAAGTATTAGGTACAGGAGAGTGAAGCATTAATACTGAAAATCAAATAGGAATTGGCAATGGATTATATCAAAAAATTCCAGCCTGGAAAAAATGCATAATCTAATCAAAAACTTCAAAAATTAATCAAACCTAGTTAGGGTTCTCAGTAAAAACCAAACAGGGGGAAAAAGGGAAGAAAAGAGAAAAAACCTTTGACTTTATGTTTCAGTTTATTTGGCTTTAATTTTAATTTCACATAGATACTGTATCTACTGAGAACCCAGCTAGATAGCAACAATACTAGAGATAAATGTCTGTGCATGCTTGCTTTTAGTTAATTTTCCAATAACTAAATCAACTGAAATAATTATGTGGGAAAAGAATTTCTGACTTAACAAAAAAGGAAGGGTGGTATACTTTTGTGGGACAAAGAGTCTGTATTATTTGCAAACCTCTTTCATTCATGTGAAAGAATTGATATGCAAGAGTTACCTTTTTGACATTTCATGAATTCTATTTTTCATATAAAATTGAAAGCAAATTTTGCTTTTGAAAAAATAAGTGCAAAGCACAAAGCTAGTTTCAACTAATTGCCTCCTAGCATGCACAGACATTTATCTCTAGTGTTGATAGAAACACTCTCCTGGATCTAATAATTATTATCATTTATTGTTTGTATACCACAAAAATGAAATACACTTGATACCTCCCACGAGGTCCTGCCAGCACCTAACAGAAGCTGCCCCACCAGGCCAGGAAACCATAAAAGGCGGTACAACATTGCTGATTCTCGGCAGAGTCTAACCTTGAGGCCATGATCAGATGACTGCTCTGAAGTTGGAGGTTGTCGGTAAGGATACCGGGTGATGGCTCTCAGCAGATTTCGTGTGAGTGCGCTGATGGCATGGATGCCAGTCAATGTGAAGGTTAGTGCAATTAGGAGCAAAGATAATCATATCGTACTATTCATGGGTGTGTACAGCAGTGATAACTTAGAGGCGGTGTGCTCAATAGACTTGCATAAGACACCATTCAGACTTTCATACAAGTAGATTATCAAGCTGGGAAGACTAGGAGTTGAATCATTTCTAGGTGACCTAATCTTGCGTGAATGATGTTCGGCTAGACTGATACACAAGGTTCTATCATAGGATTGTAATTTAATAAGTTATTTCACCAGCAAAAACAAGACCTCAGTTTCTTTTAAAAAAATATTATTAAAAAAGTTATTACAAAATAATATTAAAACAATCTTAAAATGTTCTTGACTATTAAATAAATACAAAAACAGGTAAAGAAAAAATAAATTCTGGATGTTATAATTCTTCATGTCTTTACAAGCAAAATGCATTAACTGTGAAAAAAAAACTTGTGAAAAAAAACAAAAATTTAACATGAAGAAACAGCAAAATATTAAAGTAATTTTCAAACATCTTATTTTCAAAGAATCACAGAAACAAAATCAAAAACTACCTGTAACCGATATTTTATGAAACTGAGGTCTTGATTAAAACGTTCATGTAGGATTTTACCAATATTAATTGAAAGCCAATTTAAAAAATTACCAGCATAATTGAAGTATTGACCCCAAAAAGCAAGTGACTTAAAATTGACAGCAAATGGTTTGAATCATTTGAAAATCTTTTGTTCAAGTTATAAAACATGTATCATTGATTAAAATATGTTAATTCAAAGACAATGTGCTTTGCCAAAAAGACAACTTGTCAAAAATTGCTCAAGCTCAAAACATTACCATTTGGAATTTTGTTTTTATTATTCTGATCTGAATAAAAACTGCAAAAAGGTTCGTTGTTTACAATAAAAGTCTTGTACAATTTGACTCATTGATATTTATATATTAAACGTTTAGACCAGAATAATTCAGCTGTGCAAAATCCTGAATAGACAAAAGTGCATACAATGAAATTGAAACCCAAAAAGGTTATGTAAAATGGAAAAAAAATCAATAGAGAGGACAAGGTGAGCCACAAAAAATGGCATTGAAACACCATACCTCACAACCAAGAAAGAAAATCTCTTGATGRATTGAAACTATCATTACAAGTAAAACCAAGAGTTGTTTTACCATGTCCAAAGCACTTGTATTATATGCACAAGCTGTCCAAAATTTTCAAACTATTTTGAGTCAAATTTAAAATTATTTTGAATCAAACCTTGGCAAAAATTAGATCTTGTTTTGAGCTCCAATTTGATGAAATCATGATACATGTTGTTGAAAGTCATTACAACTAAAGTCACTTGCAATCATTTTGTATCGGTTTATTATGGCTCATGTACTTCTGCCGAGAAGTTTTTGCTAGTGAAATAACTGAATCTTAGGTTAAATACAAGAAAGAGATAAAAAGTAAGATCAGATAAGGTTAAACTAAGGATTAAACTAAGGCTCTCTCTTTCCCTTAAATATTAAAGAGATAGGAATAAACTTTCAGAATTTTTAAAAAGATTCAAACCACTAATCTAAACAAACAACTTACTGGCATTAAGCTACAGCTGAGTTTTTTCTTCATTAAATTGATTAGAGTAGATTTTGTATGAATGACGACATGTTCCATGTTGTAATATTTAAATGGTTCTCATTATCGGCATGAATTTCATCCACTGTGCCATACAAAATCTACTTGCATCAGCTGCCAACTCTTTTAAAAAAGTGCATTCTTTTCCCCCACTCATTATTTAATAGGCTGTTTGCATTATTGCGTCATGTACATGTTACTACAATCACCAAAATCTTATTCAGTTACTCATCGAGATAAGATAGAAAATTTTGGAAGTATTTTGGTAGTGAAAATAAAAGCGTTATGCAAACAGTCTATTATAATAATGAAGATAAGTGAATACAAGTGACATTTGGATCCCTAGGGACACATAAGCAATTAAAAATGAAACAAATCAGTAAGTCAGATGCCCAGCCCCTTAGCAGACTCTGAATACATTAATACTTAATTGAACATATTATAGACCCAGCCCTTTAGCAGACTCTGAATACATTAATACTTAATTAAATAAATAATAAACCCAGCCCCTTAGCAGACTCTGAATACATTAATACTTAATTAAATAAATAATAAACCCAGTCCCTTAGCAGACTCTGAATACATTAATACTTAATTGAATTAATTATAGACCCAGTCCCTTAGCAGACTCTGAATACATTAATACTTAATTGAATACATTATAGGCCTTAGTCCTTTAGGGAAACAAATAGATTGTTCATGGTAAAGAGTCCATGTTAGCTTTTCATATTAAATTACATGGTGGTAGTTTCCTTTTCGGGATAGACCAGCTCATTTTTCACAAGTTAGTAGCCTAGAAACTTCGTTATTTTAGCCTTCACAAACCAGTCTTGATAATCACATACACTTTATGGATGTCTGAATACCGCCTTAAGTCTATTGATCACATCACTCTAAGATATACATCACTGTTGTGCAGTAAAACCTATGGGTAGTGGGGCATGGTTATCTTAGAAGTCTCCTAATTGCACTAATCTTCACAGTAAAAAGGCTGGCTTGCCATCAAGGTACTCTCACGAGTCTGTAGGGGGTCAGAGTCTGATATCCTTATCAGCAGTCTTCTACATCAGAGCAGCCACCTGGTTGTGGTTTCATAAGATGGCTCTTGTCGGGACAGTAAGTACTGCCTGGTCCTGGTCTACCGGGGTAGTTAGACTTGGTGCTGGTGGGACCTCGGGGAGGTTTTTTTTTTTTGCAAGTCCAAAAAGGGCGTGGAGAGGGTAAAGATGGAATTCATTAAAAAACACAGGAAAACCACTAAGTCCAAAATCAAACTTTATTTTTACAACAATAACACAAGTAACAACAAGCTTACAAGTCAAAGAAGAAATAATATGAAGTGGAAAATTTATAAAGTCTCCAAAAAATTCTAAGTCTTACCTACAAAAATTGCTAAGTGCCTCCTCCTTGATTCTGAAAAAATCTAAGTCCCCTATCAATAATATAAATGCTCCCCCCATATGAGTATCACCTCCCCCATATGAGACCCCGTCGCCCCATACGAGTATTCCCTCCCCCCATAATAAGAATACCCCTCCCCCCATACAAGTATCCCCTCCCCCCAATAGGAGTATCCCCTCCCCCCATACGAGTATCCCCTCCCCCCATTGTCAAGCTACCCCTCCCATCCCTATGTAAGTTAAACCCAGTTGCAATTGACCATTATTTCATTTCATTTTCTTTATTGTTGGTTACTAGCAAAAATTCCAAGCCATGGTTCCAATATGAATTTGGTAAATTTTCTTTGGAGAGCAGATGCCGAATCAGATAACATTTTTGGAAGCAATCTAGCAGAGTATTTTCAGTGATTTTACTTGGCTTGATAACTTAACATTTCTTCTTTAATTTTTGCCTTTGGCTAAAAGAATGATTTTTAGATCTATGTAAACTGATAGTTTTTCAGTTTGATTTCAAATAATTTTT